TATCCATCTGTGGCTTGACGGCTGTAGCCTGAATCTTTTTTTTTCCTTCCTCGGGAGGGGGCGTAAAGGGTAAGACATTAGTTGTAAAGTAAATTTGCTTAGCAGCAATTTTGAAATCGTTATCAGAAGATCAAACACATTAATTCCAAGTTGTTGGCTGAAGTGAAAAACTGAACATGATAAATTATATCGAAAAAACGGATCAAATTAAAGTATAAGACAATTTTTGCCCCGAAATGCCCTGGTACGGCTGAGTGTGGGTAGAGTCATCTCTCTAAATGCTCTCGCATATCCACGCATATACAGTTACTGTCAGGGAAGTCCTACTCACTGCCTTCTCGCGGCATTACTGTTTACGAAATTGAAGGGTCGAGAAGCGAATGTCCGGCGCTTTAACGGTTTGATGGACACTGAGGGTCCACCTAGGGGAGTCGATAAACCCTGACTCCATACCACTGGTACACATGTGCTCCAGGATTCGAGTGGAACAAATGGCGTATGAACCAATTATTGGTCACTGCCTACCATGTGACTGCATCTCCTAACGTTGTTGCACTTCCTTGTGGATCAGACCTTTAGGGCAAAGGCTACAGGTGTGGCCCCTTTAAAAAAGTCACCTGTTTCGATTTGGGCACCCGGGCAGTATCACAGCCCATACACAAATCAAGTGACTTGTGTGGTGTATATGTATTCGGTGCCCCTTTGTACCAATATTTATGTTCAAATAAATAAATAATTGATCAAGTCTTATTAAGGTTTGATGATAAACAATGGATACAAACCGCTTCACAACAATCGATTTTACTTTTTATCTCCCACTGTCTGCGACCAATGGTTACGATGTACTCGTGTGCTACAAAATCCGTGTTACATTTCACTATTATTCGATATTTCAGGTTGCCTACAACAGTTTACACTGGTTAGCACTGCTTGTCGCTTAGGCGATGGAACAAAACACATAACATGTCTCATTCACCATAGTCAACGAAATTTCACCGCGCTATTAGCATAAAATTTTTATCCATATCTGTACACGCTATTTTAGCATCACTCACTCGTTTATTCCATTTTGCCGAATCAGTGGTTTAAAGGCTTATGGGTTAGCTAATGGTGTTTGGTTTTTTTAAAATAGATACCACTCTCCGAAGTGAATGATTTCTGTTGGGGCAGGACGATGGTATAAGCGGAGTCTCTTCTTAGTAAGCGCTACACTTCTATCGCTAGAACTATCGTCTTTGTGGGACAATAGCACAATCTTAGCTTGACAACCAATATTTTCAATTAAATTCGGATTCCATCTTTCTTCCCAAATGGGTGGTAACTGAAATGTCCCATAAAGACAGCTGATGTCATTTCCATAAATAAGCGTTTCAAGGCAAATCTGGAATTTCGCAAACGTACGTTCTGTCAAGGATCTCAACCACCTCACAGTATGACCTTTCATTGTTATCTACTAAGTAATAAGCTGTGTAGTAATTAAATTTCAATCTTTCAGTCACATTTGCTCCTTCTGAATCGTATTTCGTGCTTACGCTGCCATTGTTTTCGATATTTTTCCTTTTCTGTGCTTCTCATTTTTTAAAATTTTGCTCGTTATGTCTATGTAATGTTGGAACTTCAGTCAATATGCACCCATGTTAGGCTGTACTCTGATAACTTGCTAGGTGACTGAAATATCAAAAAAATCTTAATAAGTCTAAATAGTTTGAGATTGTCACTGTATAACACTATGTTAAGAAAAAAATCATTATAATATGGAAGTTGAAAACATACTGCTTTAACAAAAAGTTCAGTGTCTTCCATTCAATACTCTACTCTCTCATATTTATTATTTCACAGGTGCCTGTTGACAGTGACTTAGCCGATATAGTAAAAGAAATATCAATTATGCAGCAATGTGATAGCCCATTCATTGTAAAATGTTATGGTAGTTTATTTGATAGTCAAGATTTGTGGATATGTATGGAATATTGTGGTGCTGGTTCAATAGCTGATATTATGCGTTTAAGAGGTAAAGCCATTGGTGAAGAAGAAATTGCTACTGTATTACATTACAGTTTATGCGGTTTAGATTATTTACATCAGGTAAGTTTTTAATATATCAAAGTAATTTTATTTATGAAAATTTGTAATTGTTCGTCAATTTTGGCAAGCAATTAATTTTAAAGGGAGATCGATTGCAAATCACTTAACTATTAACATCAATCACCAGGATAATCATCCCCCTTTATATTTAAGCCTCGTTTATTCAGCGGTTCTATTAACAAACGACTTTTCAAAGGTACAAATGTACTTTAGTGGTTAGCGTATATGAAGTAATGTACGCATCATATACAGGCTCGTGTAGACAGTAGACAAGTACTAAAACTACTGATCTACAAAACAATTTTTTACTCCGTGGACAGGTTTTTAAATATTTTCAAATGTTTTGAATTATTTCATAAATTTGGTTGCCTGTATTAGTGTCCTCTCTGGTAGATTAATCTATTTGTTTCATATTTTCGCCTATAGATGCGAAAAATTCATCGAGATATCAAAGCGGGTAATATACTACTACTCAATTCGGGTGCTGCTAAATTAGCCGATTTTGGTGTGGCAGGTCAATTGTCTGATACTCTGGCCAAACGAAATACCGTCATCGGAACACCTTATTGGATGGCTCCTGAAGTTAGTTGTCATATCTTTATATATATAAATAATGTCGACAATGTCTAGCGCAGCAGTCAGATATGGGTTTACATACTCATTTTTGGACCGAATTTCGTATAAGTTTGTAGCGATGCTCATTCGACTAAACAGTTGGAAAATATCAACTCTGTAATCGACAAAATGAGTGAGCGCGATTACTAAACGCTGCATTTTTACTTAAGGAATACACCTTCAATATTTTCATCCCGACTCCCGGCTGGTAAGAAATCAAACTGGCTTTCGGAGAACAATATGTATGATTGAAAATTGATAATTTCTGTATCAACTCTTTCAGGTGATTAATGGTCATATTTAAATAATTTAAAGGCAGAACGAACTTTTTGCTAGAATCGAGTGAAATACTTGGGTAAATTATTCAGAATGTCCTACTAAAATAATTAGTGGCATGAAATTTTGAAATATGACAGGATGCTACTTAAGCAATAATAACTTTGCAAAAATGATCATAATCTTATTTCTTCTTACCATCTTCCCCCGAAAAAATATAAGGTCTATGTTTATTTTCAAGTGTTTGAGACCTTCTCACTGAAATTTCTTGAACCTGATTTATTAGGGTTTGAGCTACATGTTTCACTTGGCGTCTTTCTCCATCAGTTCATTTTCGGAGTAAGAGTGACCTCCATTCTGGTTCAATTTGTTGGTGGTTCTTGGAATTGTATGTTCTAGTTTTGAACGATTTGAGAAGTGTATCGGGCGGTAATTCCATTTTACTTGCGTTGTCATTAGTGTGTTGTACATTCAGTTTGTTCTTGTGTCTGATCCATATGGTCCTCCCTGTTTGTACCATAAGTGTTACTGACCTTCTCTCCTGACAATTATCCCCGGTACCCGCCGAAAGTGTTATGCAAGACAATCTCTTGTGTATATACTTTAGTCATTGGTGTAAATTCAGTAATTGAAGTGATCAACAGCTGTTGTTTTGTTGGGAGTAATTTCCGAACCATTAAACATTCTGCTGGTGGAAGTCTTCTTTTTATCTCTGTGTTCAACGTATCTCTATAAGTGAGGACCCTTGGGCTCTGCGGTCATGCTCCCAGGTAGTTAAGACCAACACTAATCCAATTTCCTTTTCAGGTTCCTCAAGAAGTATCCTTCCACGATGTGGGCAGCAGGGAAGTGACATCAGCCCTCATACCCGTAACAGCACACGAGACCAAGTCGGTCACATTCAAATCCCTCCTACACCTCCTAATTACTCTTATCTCCCCGACTAACCCTTCTCACGTCCTTTTATCACCTCTCACCGCTAGGGCAAACGATTCGAGTACGCGGAACGCTATTCCTGGTCTCCTGAAACCACGCTCTAAACTTCATGTTGGAGCTTATAACGTCCGAACACTGTGCCAAATAGGACAACAGGCTTCCTTAGCTAGGACTTTAGAATCTCGGGCCATCGATGTATGCTGCGTCTCCGAAACGCGCATACAGGATTTGAGTAGCGTTCAGGGCTCGTCAGGGCTGTCCACTCTCTCCACTATTGTTTAACTTTGTCATTGACGTACTTTTAGAGATAACACTTTCCTCATCTGAATTTCCAGGGGTTGAACTTCTACCACGAGGTTCACTTGTTGGCTTGGAATATGCCGATGACATAGTTCTATCTGGTGAAGAAGCTGACAAAATGCAGAGTCTTCTGACCATTCTAAGCAACAATGCAAGCATGTTCGGGAAGCGATTCTCCCCCTCGAAATGCGAAATGTTGCTTCAGGATTGGGTTGCATCGACACCCGAACTAATGATAGGGAGTGAAGTAGTTGAGCGTGTCGATCGCTTCACTTATCTGGGAAGTCTCATCAGCCCTTGTGGCCTGGTGTGTGACGAAATCTCAGCACGGATACAGAAGGCTCGACTAGCTTTTGCCAACTTGCGTCATTTATGGCGTAGGCGATATATCCGTCTATCAACCAAAGGACGTGTTTACTGCGCAGCAGTTCGTCCCGTCCTACTTTATGGCAGTGAAACATGGCCGGTAAGAGTAGAGGATATCCGTAGGCTACTAGTATTTGATCATAGGTGTCTTCGAAATATTGCTCGTATATCATGGGACCATCGAGTAAGTAACGCAGTAGTTAGGAAATGGGTACTAAGTAAGGATGGCAAATCAATTGATGACGTAGTGAAACTTCATCAGTTGAGATGGCTGGGACACGTGTTACATATGCCCAACTACCGACTGCCTCGACATGCGATATTTTATGATGTAGGAGAAGGTTGGAAGAAAGCTAGGGGCGGCCAGGTCAAAATATGGCACGAATCTATGAAGTCACTGACAAGTAGACTGAGCCATGTTGGTAGGTGTAGACTACGTGGTTGGGGACCGCGAGATGATAGCAACCGATGGTTAGAGACCCTGAATGACATGGCTCAAAATCGTTTACAATGGCGCAGGTGCATCCACTCTTTGTGCTCTCCCAAATTCTAATCTTCTGAATTCTTCATGTCTCTTTCTTTTTCCTCTTTCCAAATTTATTTCACTGGATTATGCTCTTTAAATAACACCTCCAAACCCTAATTTTTCTGATTACAGCTTTTAATTTTACTACATGTAGCACTACGGGATTTGAATCGACCACTGCATCTCTATGCTAATGTGGTGTGGCAACTCGAACTGATGTACGTGCGTACGAATTTCTACGTTGTTACTGACTGACTATAAGTGAGCAGAAACTTTTGGAAAATCTAGCCGGTTTTTCCTAATATCAAAAACATAGTCTACTTAGGGGAGTTGGAAAATCCAGTCCAACAAGTTATATGGGCTGCATTATTCTAAAGAGACAGATGGCGTGGAAACTTATTTTGATAACCGGATACCATGGATTAAATCCTCAGATTGAAGGTTCAGGAAGTGGTCTTCGAAGAAAGTCACCTACGATTTGGGAATCCGAGTGGCTTCTCAACCTTCCCTCTGCATATATACATGCATTTACTTTTCTTTATTTGCAACACATTGATTCTGGTACATTTGGACACGAAATAAATCATGCCACACAAATGAAGTGAAGAACTTCAGAAGAGAAGGGAAGCAAAATAAGTAAATAAACGGACAAGATTAATAGATACAGTTTGGTTTAAAATGCAGATAAGAAAGTTTTCATACAGTTAAAGGAATTAGACTCCCTTTTATGAAGAATGTAATAGGACACTACAGTAAGATTTCCATACTGATGTACACTAATTGCTAACTGATTAATTACTGTTTAGATAGTATGTACATCGTCAGAAGGTAAAACAATCTTAGCTGCCCACTCAAGGTCAGAGAGTCTTCTTTCAGGTAACAAATCCACACCTTCGTCACCAATTCCTTCAGAGGTGTTCCCGGAATTTCATCTGCGATAAGTTAAAGAGGAAGGAGATATTTGAACTATGGAGAGACGTAATTGTATAACATCACTCTGTCTGAGGCTGTTTTATGCAGATTTTTAGAGATGTTAGCACACATATATTGATCATTTTATCATTTCCTAATTTTTTCAAGGTTATTCAAGAGATTGGTTATAATTGCTCTGCAGACATTTGGTCATTAGGTATAACTGCTATTGAAATGGCCGATGGTAAACCTCCATTAGCTGATATTCATCCTATGCGTGCACTGTTTATGATCCCGAGTCAGCCTGCTCCAGCTTTACGTAAACCTAGCAATTGGTCATTGGAATTTCGTGCATTTATTGCAGCATGTTTGGCGAAATCACCTGAAGCGCGTCCTACGGCAGCAGCTTTACTACAAACTGAATTTATCCGTAATGCAAAACCTTGTTCAATATTATTGTAAGCTTTTTTTCATGTCTGATTATTATTCCAGTTAAATTTATATATGACGGGAGTTGAGATGCTTAATGGTTCTAATTATGAAATTTCTTTCGATTGATTCTTAACCCTTTATTGGAAAATGTGTATTAACAATAATCAACTTGGTGAGTATTGACACAATTACAACGAAGTGCTTACCTGAGTACAGCAGGCTTTTCCAATGTCATTCTGTGTAGGATGTTAAATTTTTGCAGATCACTTGTTTAAAACTAGTTTTCAAAGTTTATCTTTTGCCCATCAACCTGGTCTATGCAGCAGATACTTGATTCTACTGCATCAAGTTTTTTGTATCTTAAGTAAACAAAATTAATCTGTCATTCATACTGTCATCGTGAATATAAACTTATATCTACAAGTTCACCTGCTCCCGTGAAACAGGTTATATCGGTCACGGTCTCTCTCGAAATGCATCTCCGAGCGTTACTCCGTTTGGTTATCATAAGGATTACTAAAGTTAGTCAGTAGCTAAAATCTTGAACATCTCGTAAGCGCTGGTTACATTCACCCATCTGTCAAAGTTATTCATGAAGTCAAACATAGTGGTTCAAATAGATCACAAATCAGGAGCTTATATACAATGCTTGTAAATTAAGGCAATATCGAGGCATACGCACAGTATGCACATATGCCAATAAGAGACTGATCAATTTCAGTCCTAAAACATTAATGGGAAGATCCAAGTAAAACAATATCAAGTGAATTAAACTTCACCCCATTGCACAAGCAAGTGGCTATCAGGACTCAGTTGCTAAGTGGATAACGCGATGGCGTTTGAAGCGAACGGTACTGAGTTCAAGTCCCAGAGTGAACATCAACTCTGAGATGCAGATACATCCAGATGACGAGTCCCAAACAGGACGGAACGCGCGTCCTGGATTCCACTGCTGGCCACTATCCATCTTTGCTTATAATTGATCACTATGTTTTTCATAATTTACCAAGTGAACAATTGTCTATTCTACGAAATATCGTAATAATTTTTTGATTAGTCGTTAAATAGTTATGTAAATCCTTTTCTATAATTGGTAGTTCCAAACAATTTATCAGCACATTCTTAATATTCTTCGAGTTGACAGTTATCTTTCATACATAAACTGTTTAGTTCACTACGTAATTTCTTTTAATACTTGAAAACGTTTTCGATGGCTCTTTATATGACGCAATAGCTTCCTATTTTTTTTCTTCTGAACCGATACATTTTAATTCATTATAAATACGGTTGTACAGCTTGATCGAATGATACTGAAAAGAGAATTTTCTTTCTTGAATTATTTTTATCTCTTCTGCGATGAATCGATAGGTTTCTTCCTTTACTTCAATGCTAATTCATTGTATATATTCATCATGATTATGAATCTACGTACAGTGGTCTTGTGATGCTACAAAATTTTCTTTTAACTTGAGAGTGGCAGTAGATTTTTACTTTGATCAATGAATTTTTGAGCTTTTATCAATGTAGTCTCAGTTCTTACCTGGAATCCTACACTTTAACTCAGCATCATTCAATCAATTTCAAACCACAAACCAACCTAAGTTAGATAACCAATGAAAACCTAGAAGCACTGGATTGAAGTTTCGTTCTAGCATGGAACTCCCCAGAAGTATTCAGTCATGACCCCGAAACCAGAAATTGAACTCAGCACCTGGGTTTTCAATGATTGTTTGTGATTTCAATGGAATTTAACAATCTCCGCAACCTCATACTGACAATACATACGTGCTTAGCCACTTTCAACGGTCATGCAGAGCGATCTGCTGCACAATATCCCTGCTGTTTAGTCAATAGATTGATATCTCACCTGTGTTATAGATGGCAGAGTTTATCAGAAGGCGATAGGTGATTTCTCGTGGTCGCACCGGAATTTCGTCAGTCACTCGCTCACGGAGAGTAATAATGCTTTCAAGTTGAGTGACGTCAACGAGGTGAATCACTACCCTTCCTATAGTCAAACCAGATGTGAATACAGATCGGTTCATTTTTGAGAAAAAGAAAAGCATTTCAAATAATATTCCATCGTGGGTAAAGTGTAGTCTATCTTAGTTTGGTCAACTATAGGTAGTGTATCGTATATACTGTAAATCAAATATTTTAACTTAATGTGTGGTACCTTACGAGTTTATTGAGTTGAATTCGACTTATGTTTAGTATTATACTACCTATCCACCTATTCAATAAATGTGCGGACAGAATTGTTATTAAGCTTAAGAAAAACTGTTAGATCTAGAACTTGAGTTGTTGCTATTCCGCGCACAACTCGAGCACTGAAACGCTAGAACCCTCCAACTCTCAAGATAGAAGACAGAAGATGAGTTACAAGAAATTTTATTCCAATCGGTGTCAAATATGGTACAAAACACCCAGGTATTTACAGTTTTTAGTAGAAACGAAATCATCATTACAGTCATCTAATCCGCATGCAGTGGTTTTTAGCATTTTTTCAATCGGGAAGCTACACATCGAAATTCTGGAATGTCTTCTGCTCTTCCTGAGCTTCTTAGAGCTTCCTTGAGTTCACCGATTTCCGTCCCTACAAATGCTCAGAAAATCCAAGAATTATTAAAGGCTGTCTATCAATATAGTTCATTTGAATTGATCTCTTTAAAAGGGGATTCAACGCTTTAGTGAAAATCAATCAGAACATCGACCCTCTACGTGTTGAAAAAGGTATTGAAAGTTTCTCAGGGTTCCTGACTGTTTGTTCAGATGGTGACTAATCAGCTGAATTTGGCGAAATTATTCGTGTCCATGGTTCTTGCAAAACATTTGAGGTTGAAAAATAGGTTGCTAAACGTAATCAGGCAGCTAAAATGCCTGACTTATGCGGACTTTCATGAATGTTTTGAACAAAGGAAATGAAGGTATACCAAGTTCATAGCCATAAATATTAGTTACTTTAAAAGGGATAAGATTGCTATCCCTTAAAATTCGTTTTTATAACCTGGATTTATGTATCTATTAAATCATATACATGTATATACCCATTTATATGTATATTTCTTGCTTGATTTGCTTTTGTAGACAACTAATTAATGAAGCCAACGAAGCGAGAGAAAGACGTCTTCTACAACAACAACAACAACAAACATCTACGCCTGATACACCGATTTCCGATGTTAAACGACGTCATTCAGTAATGAATAAAATTGATGAAAATCAAGTTAAATCTAAACAAAATCAATTATCTCAAGATGATGTTGATGATAATTTACATACAATGGTTCGTTCAAATTCAACATCTAGTCGAACTGCGAACAATAATATTAACTGTAATAATAATAATGAATCTGGGTAAGATAATTCTTTATGATGGTTTGCTTTGAGTTTCGGTATCTTCCGTGTGTGTGTGTGTGTGTGTTGATAAACAGTTTCTTTTATAATGATATGGTTTTGTGTTAATTGGTTTATTTTGTATGTAGTTTTGTCACAAATTGACTCTAGTTGAAATACCTTTGAAAACCGTGGAGCACTGAAAAACTGTTTTGTCTTAGTATGGAACTCAGCACTGTGTACCGAAAATACCTCTAGGTATCGAACTCAAGTCTCATAATGAGCTGTTGGCTATTAGACCATTAAGCTGGCATCTTGTGTACGTTTTTAATTTTAGTCAATTTGTGACATAGAGGAACGGCCATCTAATGCTCTTAGTAGTTACTATCGCTTCCGACACGTCTGAATTCTATCGGTCATAACCTCTTACTCCGAAATTACCCACTAGGGAAAACGATTGTAGTATTGATAAAGAGACAAAATGTATAGCAGCTAAGGCTGCTACCAGTTATGTCCTCATACCCTGCAAATGTATCACGTGATATTACTGCCATTTAGAACACCGACTTATTGACCAAATCAATGACATATGAACCAGTACGAGCAGCCTAGAGTCAACTCTGAGTTCTTATTGGTCCTCTGGAATAGTAGCTTCTCGTTTAACCCAGCCGGTTCAGTTTAGAACACCAATATCGTCCTCTGCTATATATATGGTGTATTTCAGACAGTTTGTATACAAACAAATCAGACCGTATCATACCATAAAGTAGAAAATAACAATTATACAAGATCAGGCCAAACGTAGCTGTGGTTGTGGGATACTGTAACTAACAAGCTGGAAATAACTTAAGAACAGTAAATCGTATAATAGTAGTCAATAGGACAAATAGAAGCTTATAATAGACAGAATATGATTATGGATATGACATAGTTACTTAATAGTTATACAATAAGAATATACATAATAACAGTCCATAAATAGATCCCAGCAGTTGTCAACCACTTATTCTTCGTCCGGACATAACAGCTACATTAAATAAAATCAACAAGATGTGTAACAAATGAGATTTAAGTAATAATAGCGTTGTGATTGTGAAAAAGACTAAATACAGGAGAATACAATTCGAAAAGCAAAGTAATGAAGCAAAAAAGTATGAGATCATAATGGAATTCAACACTCAAGTAAGGATAAAGAATGTATACATTTAAACCGTCAGTACTAATTTCGAATCGGGCAACCGATTATTTCCAACTTTCTGCATCGTGATTATCCCACTAATTCCAACCACAAAGTGTGTAATTCCCAATTCTTAATTATTGGTTAGTTATTGACTACATGATATCGTTGAATTGGTTCTTTCAAAATACCTATAACCAACTATGAATAAGTGGTCTTGAGTGCTGTTAGAGGTATGAGGGCGGTTATCACTTCCCGGTTGCCCACACCGTGGAAGGGTTTTTCTGGAGGTACCTGAAAAGGAAAGTGGATTAGAGGGTGGTCTTAGTGACCTGGGAGCGTGACCGCAGTGCCCAACGGACAACTGCTTGAGGTCGGTCACACTTGACCTTTTTATGAGTAATTTTTGTGTTAGCTCCGTACTTGTTGAGACCTTACCGCCAGAGACGGATATCCGTGGGATAAGGCGAGGTGTGCATTTTTAGGGTCGACCTTTTCTGACCCCACCCCTCCTTGTGGTAAGGCAGCATCGTTGTCATGCTGGTTGTCTGAAGGAAACACCTTACTGCTGTCACACCTCTGTACAGTGAGCAGTACGACTTCGCCTTCGGACCTTGGGTTTGTTGCTTTTAGTCTTACCGTCCTTCAAGCGACCTGTCTGACATGGTAGGACCTTGAGGAACGATTGTTCCAGCCAGTATATCCCGATTGGTTCATCACGATAGGCAAGCCCGACCACCACGTCAAGGTAGCAACAACGGTCGGGTCTATAACCAACTTGATTGGACTGGTTTTTAGTCAGATTATATGTGCTTATGTGCGCGTGTTTGTACACTGATAAAATAGTTTTTGAACAAATCATTTTATAACATCACTGCAAAGCAACTATGTTGTCAGGCCATTACCGATTATGGTCGATTATATTTGTTTTATGTTTTACATGGTTAAACTCCAGATGTCACAGACTTTCTCTAGAACTATAGATATTTTGACGATATGACTGTAACAAAGCAATTAATAAATTACTTAATGCTTTACAGAGCAAGAACAAACAAATAACATTCTGTTACAATGCCACATAGTAAGTGAGAAATACATGTTCTCATAACCTACTGTATTAGTAAGTGAACAAATTATTTTTTTGACCATGATCCACACCTGCATGTATCCGTCTAGGTCACTTTGGAAAAATACAGCCCCCAAATGCCCTGGTATGGCCGAGAGTGGGGTGGACCCTCTCTCCCTCTCGAAATGCTCTCACACGGCCACGCGTATGCAGCCTCTGCCAGAGAAGTCCTACTGACTGCCTTCTCGTGACAGGGGTGTTGTTTACGAAAATGAGAGGACGAAAAGCGAATGTCCGGCGCTTTGACTGGATTCCAAACCAATGGTGCACATGGGCTCCAGTATCCTGCGGGAACAAATGGCGTATGAACCAATCGTTGGTCACCGGCTACCATGGGATTGCATCTCCTCACGATGCTCCACTGCCTTGTGGGTTAGACCACTAGGTCAAAGGCTCGGTGTGTGGCCCCCTAAGAAAACCACCCTCTTCGGTCTGGGCACCCGGGCAGTGTCACAACCCACACACACAAATATGGTGTGGCGCATATTTATTTGGTGCCCTCTTGTACCGATATTTATGTGTTCAAATAAATAAGAGTTATTAGTATTTCTCTGTTTGCTTATTATGCCGGTCATACATTAAGAAATCCATGCCTTAGCGATTTAATAAGATTGTGGAATATAATTATTTCATCAAACTATAATTCTGTATTGTATTACATATCATTGCTTCGTATATTTCACCTATCTTTATGAATATTTAATGAAAGACAGTGAATTTACTTTCAGTAAAGACATTATTTTATCGTCTTACTAATCACTATTCCTTTAATCTTACTTTAAAATATCAGTTTGGATATTGATGGTGCGGCAACTTTAGTTTCATTATGCTCAAACGAAGATCGCACAAATCATCATAATGACGGTGATGATGATGATGATGACGATGACAATGGTAGTTTTATACGTCATCACGATGATGAAACAAATGTCAATAATGCCTATATATCTTCCGGTAATCTTGATACAATGGTTGTCAATGATGGCGGGGAAAGTGAAGAAGATAGTGGTTCTGTTGTGGTACATGATACAACTGGTGGTTCGTCCGATGGACTAGATGATGCAGAACGCGATCAACGTGAAGCTTTCGAATTACTAGACGCTGCTCTCCCACCGGCTGTGCCTACTGAAGGTACACTAACTAGGAGAATTGATAAGGCCGTAAAAATGGTAAATAATATCGGGTAAGTCACTTTTTATATGATCACGAGTAAACCATTGAATCATCTCGTTCTTAGTATTCAGGACTGAATGTTGACCAAACTTTTTTGGCATATATTTGTCTTGTGTGGATTACCTCGATCTAGCCTTCGAACAAGTTAGTGAATGTCTTTAGCCAGTTGCCCAGTAAAATACGCGTTGGCATCTTGTGAGTAACATCCGCCACATCAGTACTAAAAACTAGACAAATATATTGGTTATTACTCAATGATCAAGGAATGAAAAATATTACGCTCTATTAATCTTTAGTGTGGATCGGAATTTACTGACTAATTGCCGACACCTCTTTACTTACAACAAGACTGTACTGTTTATCGTTTGCCAGTTTCACTCAAATATGCTACTCAATGAAGTTCGAACAAATTCAATAACTGTCTTGATCGCTTATATACTGTCTGATGGTATCTTATGTCCAAGATCTTATAAAGTATAAAATTGGTTTAAATTAGTAAATTCTCTTGAAAGTGATCAAAATATCATCAAACAATCAACGTTAAACACAGGCAAGAAAAAATCACATTCATTTCGTATGGCTGAATGATGTGTGTCCTATCCACTTCCAACGACTTTTCCTAATTTCCTCCTCAGCTGGAAGCTGGTTTGTTCTCTCCCATAGTAGGCTGTTACTGATGGTATTCGGCCAACGGACAGTGAGTATCTGGCGTAGACAACTGTTTATAAATAATTCTACTGTTTTGATGATGATTGTGGTAGTTCTCCAAGTTTCACCTCCGTACAATAGAACTGTCTTGACGTTCGTATTGAAGATCCTGACTTTGATATCCGTTGACAGTCGTTATGAGTTCTATAAATACTGTCCTTGCTTTGCCAATCCTTGCCTTTACGTCTGCATCTAATCCTTCTTGTTCATCGATGATGCTGCACAGGTACGTGAAAGATTCCATCTATTCCATAGCTTCTCCATCAAGTGAGATTGAACTGATATTCTTTGTGTTCTATTTGAGAATCTCGGTTTTTCTCTTGTGTATGTTGAGGCCTACTGCTGCCTCACTATTTGTCTTCACCTGCATTTGTTGGTATGTATGGGATAGAAGATACAGATAAAATCGTCTAGCCACATGCAAACTGTCCATTGTATTCCATGCTTTCCCTCAGATGTCGAGGTCTTCATAATCCAGTCAACCATCAGAAGAAAGAGGAAGGGGGGAGTAAGTAGCCTTGTCTGACTCCGATACTCTCTTGGAACGCATCCGTCAGCTGTCCTCCATGGACGACTTTGCACTGTAGTCCGTCGTATGAATTGCGAATGATGTTGACGATCTTTCCAGCTACTCACACCGTAGTGTCGAAGAAGGTTCTATAAGTTTCTCCTAACCACACTGTCAAAGGCTTTCTCATAATCAAGGAAGTTGATGTATGGTGACGAGTTACATTCAATTGATTGTTGAACGATGATCCGTGGTGTGGTGATATGGTCTGTGCACGGCCGATCCTTACGAAATCCAGCCCGTTGATTTCGAAGCTGGGTGTCTACTGAATCTTTCATCCGGTTCAGCAATACCTTGTTCAAAACGTTTCCTGGTACTGACAGTAGTGCGATGCCTTTATGGTTCTTACATTTACTCAGATCTCCATTCTTTGGTATCTTGATAAAGTGTCCTTCTTTCCAATCTCTTGGCATTTGTTCTTCCTCCCAAATCTTCCTGAATAGAACGTAAACCATGTTTGCAGTTACTTCAATGTCCGGCTTCAGTGCTTCAGCTGGCCCATTATCAGGTCCTGCTGCTTTCCCGCTCTTGGTTTGTCTGAAGGCCATCCTGATTTCCTCGACTTTTAGTGGAGAGACATCTACGAAAAAGACTGTGTGCTACTTCAATCTGTGGTGGATTCAGTTGAGCTGGTCTACTCAACAGTTCCTTGAAGTATTCAACCCATCTGTTCCTCTGTTCTTGAATTTCAGTGTTTGCTTGCCTTATTTGTCCTTGACTGGTCTCTCTGGTTTACTATATTTCCCTACCAGTTTCTTCGTTGTGTCATATATTTGTTTGATATTTCAGCTTTTTCCGCTGTCGTTGCTAGTTCTTTCATGTATTTCTGCTTGTCAGCTCTAATGCTCTTCTTCACTTGCTTGTTTGCCTCTGTGTATTCAGCCTTTGCCTTGACTTTCTCTGTTCTTGTTTGGATGTTGTTAATTGCTGTATTCTTGTTCTTCCTTTCTTGAATCTTGTCAAGGGTTTCGATAGAGATCAATCTATTGTTATAGTACTTCTTGAGGACGAGTATCTCCTGACACGTTGAAGTTAGTGCTTCTCTAATCCCTTTCCAGTTGTTCCCTTTATCAGTTTCTTCTTTGAGTATATCTTGTAAGGCTTGGGACCTGTTGCTGATAGCTATCTTCAACTGGTTGAGTTTGTCAGTGTCTTGGGGGAAGGCTGTTTTAAACTTTTGTAATGCCGCTTTTTCAGTTTTCCAGTGCTTCTTTAGCTTCAGTTTCATTTTGACAACCACTAGTTGGTGGTGATCAAAAGCTATGTCAGCTCCTTTGTTGGTTCTCACGCCTTCCATTGACCTTTTGAATTCTTCACTGACGCATATATGATCGATCTGGTTCTGTGTAATGTGATCCAGTCAAATCTATGTAGCTTTGTGTATGCATTTGTGTTGGAATGTCATACCGCCTACAACCATTTTGTGGAATGCACACAAATTTTCCTATCTCACCGTTCTCGTTCCCTTCTCTCAGTCAGTTCATGTCGTCCTACGATATCTTCATATTCGATGTTTTCCACTCCGACTTCGTCGTTTAAGTCTCCCATCAGGATGGTCAGGTCATTTCATGGGCACATCGCTATGATTGCTTGCAGCCTCTCGTAAAACTGGTCTTTATCGTCTTCATCTCTGTGATTGTTGGGTGTATAACATTGGATAACATTGATTGTGATTCTACCATTCTTTGTTTCGAAAGATGCTTTAATAATTCTGGGTCCATAAGATTCCCATCCGATGAATGCTTTTCGTGTTTCTTTGGACAGCATCAGAGCACATCCCTGAGTGTGTGGAACAGTTTCTTCTACGTACCTAGAGTAGAACAGCATCTCTCCCGAATGTATTCTTCTTTATCCAGCTTGGATCCAATGGGTTTCGTTGACGCCAAGAACCTTTGAGTTTTATCTACTCATTCCCGATGCTACTTGACTGGTCCTTCTGGTCTCCTATATTGTTCGGACGTTCAGCTTTCATCATGAGGCGTCATAGTTCTTCTGAATGAAGACCCTTCAACTTGCAGGACAGATTTTAAGTGGTTTGAATCGTTTATTGTGGTTAGCGTATTTTAGCAAGGTTGTTTTCTGCGGGATATATATATATATATATATATATATATATATATATATATATATTTGCTATCACTAGTGAATTCCGTCGAACCCCTGAAAATGTAGTAAATATCATTGTTTAGCTCTAATTATACAAAACATCTGCAAAATTTAACGCAATTCTGAGTGCTATTTCACCTGATTTACCATTGGTTAATTTAGCTTATGATAAAGGAACTAATGGAATCTTCAGTTTCTAACTTCATTTAACAGATCCATTCATAGTATCGCATAGGCTTATCGCAATATAATCACTTGGACAACCATATCACCAATTGATTAGTTTAATAGTTCTAACTTACTTCCCAGGACAGGGTTGGATGGAGAATGCTGGTGAGCGGCCTATGTTCCTTTACAGGGAGTAACAGGCGTAAGTAAGTAAGTAAGCAAATTACTTACGCCAGTTCTTTCCAGTTGCTATCCATCCTTTTCATTTCTGCTTCCAATTCTCGACACAGTGTGTTCTCTGGCCTTCTTCTTTTTCGTTTCCCTTCAGAATTCCAAGTTGTGGCTTGGCTCATGGTTCAGTTTGGTGGTTCTCGTTATGTATATCCTATCCACTTCGAGCATCTTTTCCTAATGACTATGTTGTAAGCTGGCAATGAATTATTTTTATAGTATGCATAAGTGCTCAACTATCAAAAATTTTCTAGATGTTGTGAATCCGTAATAAAAAATTTTGTCGAACAATTATTAAGTCGATTAACAAATAACCAATAACAGAGGTGTTTCCAATGCTATTCATACCAAAGGGTGACTATCAAGAGGACGAGTGAAAAAGAGCGTACGTTAATAAGGACTACCATTAAAAGAGCAAATATTAATACATGTAATAATTGAAAGGGGGGATAATATTTTTTAATAGTATGAAATATGTTCGATTTACACTCTGCCCCTGTGCCTTAAGATCAATTAAAAACGTATTTTTCTAAATATATATGGTTAAGGGTCTACTTTCAATGAATACTGCAATCTTTCGAATTCGGTAGTAAATTGTTATTGTTATTGCCCTAGTCATGTTATCTCAATGTCCATTTCGAACAACTAGGATATAATCTTTTGAAAGGGATGTTTTTGTGTGCTAAATTGCTAACAGATCACGAATTTGTTAGACAGTTTCAGGTGACTGAAAATATAAAGGTTATAGACTCTGTATTTTCAGTGAGAATGTAATGTAAATTGAACATATTTCATACGATTAAAAATGTTATTCCGTCTTTCAATTATCACATGTATTAATATTTCCACTTTTGATGATTGCCGTTTTTCACACTCTTCCTGCGACCCATATTAATGTGAACTGTTTCCAAATAATGAATTGCCATCAAGAAAATTGTTCAATAGATGTCCAATTACTCATAAGTAATATAGTTAGAATATACATATTTCACTGTTATTTCCAGTAATTTGATTCAGTTAATTTATACATTCTTTCTATGTTCATTTTTAGTTGTGAACAACAATCAAATGATATAAATAATAATATGAATATAGGCGGTGGTATTGGTCATGCTCCACCATTTATCCAAAGACCATTTGCACCATTTTCTCGTGCTATTCAACAATCTGGTCTTTATACAAATGGATTAACTAATGAACCAGGTTCTTTAAGTCGTTTATCTTATACAGAATTGGAACAATTACTTATATCATTAACAAATGATTTAGAAACAGAATTAAGAAATTTAGCTGTTCGTTATCGTCATAAACGTCAACCATTATTAGATGCAATTGCAGAGAAAACAGCACAAGCATCAATAAAAACAACTAATACTATAAATAATGATATAACATCAAAATCTAATCCAATTACTCAATGTTAATCATTGTTTACTTAATTCATTTCATTATTATCTATTTAGTTTTTATTGCATGGTAACCATTGATAACCCTATCATCATTGATTTCAAATATATTTCACCCTCTTTCTTTTTTCTCTTTGTTGTTTACTTATGATTATTTATCGTTTATTCCTCTTTTTGTCCTTCAATGAATTTGTGTTCATTTACGAACGATTGATAGAAGATAGGAAATGTGTTATTTCTTAGTTAATTAATTTTCATCATCATTATCATCTCATGCTTAGTTTATATTTGTTTTCTATTGACAACTGTATATTAATCTTGTATATTTACATGAATATATATACTTCAATAAATGGCATTTTATTCATTATAGTTTATTGTTTGAACGCTTTTGTTTAAATTCAATGAGTGTGTTGATATGTTTATTATTATGCTGCACATGGGCTACAGTATCCTGCGGGAACAAATGGCGTATGAACCACTCGTTGGTCACCGACTACCATGGGACTGCATCTCTTTACGATGCTCCATTGCCTCGTGGATCAAACCTTTAGGTCGAAGGCTGTGAGTGTGGCCACCTAAGAAAACCACCTTCTTCGGTTTTGGCACACGAGTAGTATCTCAGCCAACATTAAAATCGAATGATTTATGTGGTGCATATCTATTTGTTGCCGATTTTTGTAAGGGCTGGAATAGTGCTTGGGTGCCCAGACCGAAACAGATAGTTTTCTTAGGGGTCCACACCCAGAACCTTCGACCTAAAGGTCTAATCCACAAGGCAGTGGAGCAACGTAAGGAGATGCATTCACATGGTAGTCGGTAACCAATAATACGTTCATACGCTACTTGTTCCTTCAGGGTACTGGAGCCCATGTTCACCAGTGGTTTGGAATCAGGGTTTTCTAACCCCCCTAGGTGGGCTCTCAGTGACCGCCAGCCCAGTTAAAGCGCCGGAGTTTCGCTTTTCGTCTCCTCAATTTCGTAAACAACAGTAATGCCACGAGAATGTAGTGAGTAGGAGTTCTCTGGCAGTGGCCGTATACGCTTGGCCATGTGAAAGCATTTCGAGAGGGTGAGTTGACTCTCCTCACTCTCAGCTGTACCAGGGCATTTGGAGGCTCGTAGTTGAAAGGTATTTTAAACACTCATTTTTTATGTCACAAATCAAAATTAAATGCATCAAATTAATTGGTATCTGATCTGATATGTTTACTCATTTATGGATTAGTTTTTTTTTCTTAGTTGAATTTTTGTTGATTAATCCGAAATTAAATAATTGAATTCATGACTTAATTGAAGCTAGACCATTATGGGAAGCCTGGAAGCATTAGACGGCCGTTTCGTTTTAGAATGGGACTCTTCAGAATAATATGAATGATTGGTTAGATTGTATTCAAATATGCTACTGAAGATTTGATAGTTCACAATTGTATATCTTACTATTTGTTATCGTCTAAAATAAATGGTTTAATAAGCGATTATATACTGTTAAACTATCAAGTATCATCATAGTTCACTATGTATGCATCTATTTGTTATCCGTGTAGATTCAAAACCTCATTCTGTACATAAGTCACTCAAATTCTTAGTGTTGATCGACTGGAATAGTTATAGGAAAATTTTGTTCGTTAAACTCATTGAAAGTGACCTAAATATCAAGTAGTTTTCAGTTTTTTTTCTGATTGATTCCCATTCACAATTAATTGCTTTGAACTAAGAAGCTTACATCTTTAAGATTTTGTTATGTAACTGTATTTTATTAAACTATTTCGACTTTTATTGTATAACTCTCTGTTATTTAACTTACTCTCAGTAGAACCTCTGTACAGATACATTGATATGGGCGAATGTTTGTCCCAACTTTTGGTCAATAGATTAGTATTCACATAGATTTAGACGAAGAAAAGAACTAATTTGTACGATATTGTGCTTTTTCGCATCTCTTATGATAGGATAGATAGAATGAATTCTGAGTTTTTTAAAGATTGCTCGTTTAATGAATATCAATAATCCTATCATTTCTGCTCAGTTCTCCTTTATTGGTAGCATCAGCATTACTCATTCAATACGTTCTGGTGATATAAAGTGATATGATTACTAGTTGGAACTATCTATTCAGACGTAAAACATTTTGATTCATTATGTTTTATTATTAGTTTACCGAATTGAAATATATTTAATGCCAGCTTGCTCTATGAAATGAAACGAGACGCCTTTCATTGTGGGTGGTGGCGGCCTGCTTGAGCATCTGGGCTACCTGTTCCTGCCATCTAGATATTTCGACAAGTTATCTATTTTTGTTTGTTTTAATATATCATTATGTCTACTAATCACATAAGCTATCCTGGTGCATTTCTGAAAAGTGTACAACCTTTCGTTGTCAAAGTTACAAAAAGCTCAAAAAGAGAGAATATTGTTGCTGGCAATATACAACGAAAAGAATGTACATTATTCAGATGTTCATTTACTGGACTGTTAACATCTAGCTGGCGACCACTCAGTATTTATCGCGAGGACCGATCAAGAAGAAAGAAACGGAAACTTGTTGAAATACTTTGTGCTGAGAATTCTATATTGTACCAATAATATAATATTGAATAAAGCTAATAATAATAATAATAATAATAATAATAATAATAATAATAATAATAATAATAATAATAATAATAATAATAATAAAGATATGTCAGTAGGTGAAGTTACATGAATCACCTCTCGATTGACAGTTATTTAATTGTGAATGATGTTTGAATTAACAGTTATTAGTTTTGGCACAACTTACTTGATTAGTTTCTCTTGTTATATTCTTTTACTGATCTGTTTACCATCGATAGTATAGTCAAAATATGAGGGTTATCAGTCTGAAGTAAGGATAATCATTCATTTGAGAGACAGAGTGATTTGTTCCTTAGCTGTTTTAATGAAATGATCAGAGATTTATATTAGTAGTGTAATGATATAATTATTTAAATTTTATAACTGAATAAATGGACAACAACAAATTCACTTTTAACTTATCGAAAAGTTACTTACTCACTTACGCCTATTACTCTCAATTGAGCATAGGCGGCCGTCTGCAGCCCCTCTGGGGCTACTGCCTGTCAAAAGCCCAGATAGAGGAGGAGGGTTGGGCATGGGGTTAGCGATCCTATCCCGTAGAAAACTAAATTGCTAAAAAACGCTAATCAGAAAAAAATAAATAAAACCATTTATCAAAAAGTAAGAAAATACAAATCACAATATGTCTGAAGAATGAAATAAATTCATTGTATTCTTGTATTCAACTACATAAAATTTCCAAATGTTACTTTGAAATATTAAGATAATTGGAATTTTATCGTTAAATTTATGAGTTAATCAAGGCTAGAGCACTATGGAAAACCTGGAAGCACTGAAGGGCAGTTTCTTCCTAGTATGGGACTCCTGAAGTTCTAGTGAGAAGCAGTAACTAGTGTAGTTCCATTGGCTCTGTTGTGAGATAGTAACACACTGAAGAAAATGATGAATGGTGGCGCAATTTCGTGGTTTGATTGAAGTTAGACATTAACATCGTTGGATGCCGGCTCTGGTCTAGACGTTAAATGTTCGTTCTTGGGTTCGAATCGATAATTTTAATGTTTGATTATATTTCCTTGAAAAAGCTTGGACCAGATTGCCAGGTGAAACGTTGAATTTGCTTCAAATTCATTCGCTGAGATTAAAATCTCAAATACATTCTTCCTCTTTAAGGTCTCACATCAACTTGGCGCCCAAATATTTTGAAACTATATTCGTTCAAATTTAGACGAAATTCTTATTTAATATAGACTATCGTTTGATTTTGATGATAACATTTTATAGCACGACCGATACAGTTTTATCAGAAATAAGAACTAAACACAAGTCGGTCACTGAATCCTTCATTTCTTTAAAGTTATTAGTTTCAAATTCATTCTTATCTTGAAATGATGCTAATTAAAGTATGATTGGAAATTATAATCATACAAAACATTTCTTTCGTTGAATTTCTCGGTATTCAGTTAGTCAGTCAGCTATAACGTAGGACCAGGCGCATATATGTATCAGTCTAAGTTGCCATACCTCAGTATCTAACAACTATGATCATATATAACAAAAGAATTGTACTGTCCAAACTACTTGTACTAGACATTTGATCATGTGATACATCCGTTTGTTCGATCGAGAACTAGACTAGATCGGAAGAAGGGTTCATTTTCACGTCCACTAAGCAATTAGTTAGTACAATGAAATAGTTTCTTATATTTTGTGTAGTTGGACATTTCTATCTTCAACTGTTGAGCACTAACAAGTTATATTTATAATCATTTGGTCTTATGATTGTTATGGTAATATAGTGAGTTATATTTTATAACTCTCGATTTATGATACTACTACTAGTGATAGAAAGCGGTCTTAATGGATTATGAATCAACAATTTAGGTTATAAGTTAGTGAAGTGGAAATTTGTACATTTCAGATTTCTATCAATACATCTGTGTGATCAGAACAACCTTAAAGAATAATCGGAATGACGATAATTTATGGACGAACCAATCACGTATAAGATAACAGGTCTCGAATTTTGGCGCGAAATTCATTCATTCATTTGGCTAAATAGAGTTTTGACATTTTAGCTAATTTTAGTTCATGATAAAAACCCTAAATCTAATTCCTAACCTTAATCATTAAATGTAAATCATAATTCTAATACCTCACACTGGTTTATAACCTTCATTTGGTCCTGGTTACTAGGTGGACACTCTCAAGGTCAGTTCGGCGTCACTCATCCATAAATTATAGTCTCACCGGATAATCTCTAATGTTGTTGAACTAATCCACAGAAAATTTAGATTAGATATAAAATTTTTATGAGAAATAATACTACTATTTGTAGTCAATTTCGTACATTACAATACTGTAGTGAACAAAAACACCAGTGGGGAACAATCGAATGTATTTGACACAACATTACAGCACTTGTTAATAAAATCTAACAATCATCAAGTAAATGCTTAATTTGTAAGATGTCCATCAGTTTTCTCAAAATGACTCAGACATCATTGTTGCATTTTCATACAAATTACATTCTGTTTCTATCCTTTACTGTTCGATCCTCTTGTCTCTCCCCTGCCAGACCTTCTGTTTACGACTAACGTCATATTACTACTTATATCGATATAAGTAGCATACACCACATACAAAATTCAATCGATCAACATTCCTTGTTATCGTTGGTTGTCCACTCACTCACTTACTACCTTATCCACACTCACTCTCTCATTCTCCCTTTATAGCTTATTCCATAATAAGGAATTAATGAAAGCATATTAAAGATAAATTTTGCCAAGTAGAGATAATTAATAATTATTTTCTATTC